CAGAAAGGTTTATTGGTATATGGTGAAACATTATATGCAACAGAATTACCATGTAGGCAAGCTTATGGTGGACATATAAAATAAAAATAAATAAATGTGTACTTATCAGTGTTGGGGAGTAACAGATTACATGTACTGTCATACAAATTATGAGTAACTGTATTCAGTTACAGTTACTGTTTCCATAAGTGGTAATTGGATTACAGTTACTTTGTTGAAATAAACATGGCGGTATTTTGCAGTTTTCACATTTTGGGCTAAACCAGGACTAAAACCAGAACTAAAACCAGGACTAAACCAGGACTAAACCAGGACTAAAACCAGACTAAAACCAGGACTAACCAGGACTAAACCAGGACTAAAACCAGAACTAAAACCAGGACTAAACCAGGACTAAACCAGGACTAAAACCAGAACTAAAACTACAACTAAACCAGGAATAAAATCAGAACTAAAACCAGGACTAAACCCGGATTAAACTAGGACTACAACCAGATCTAAACTAGGACTAAACTAATACAATATGACATCTATCAGTAGATGGACATAATTGTGATCTCATATATAAAGCATTTCTCTATCAATAATATTTTTTATATGGTCAAGTAAAGACTGAACAAACAAGAATTTGCAGGATGTGGTTGTTACATTCATGTAGTTTTAAAAAGCATGACAATATCAAGTAATCCAAAGTATTCAGATTATGTTACTCACTTTAAGTAATTGAATGGATTACGTTACAAACTACATTTTAGGGTATGTAATCTGTAATCTGTAGGGGAATACATTTTAAAAGTAACCTTAACAACACTAGTACTTACGTATATTTTTGCCCGTGTATATCTCATTTAAAATATATACAAAAAAAATGTTACATTACTGATTTGTTGACTAGACACTTTACCACTCACTTTACTATAGTATGAGTTTTTGAATGAGAATTTCACATGTGGTGTTTGAGCACAAGTGCTATACATGTAGATTAGATTAGATTAGAAAACTTTATTTATCCCCAAGGGGCAATTCTGTTTGCAGTCACAGACTACAGTATAAACACACACACACATTTAACACAGGTCAGGTGCTTGTACAATTATGGGCATCAGAGCTAATGATGCATAAAGTGCAAAGGCCTGATACAGAACAGAACAACAACATTAGAACAGTAAACAAAGCATAAAAATACACTTGGCTCAACCTATTTCACCTCTGTGTTTAGGAGCAGAATGGCAGAGGGAATAAAGGAATTTGCAAATCTATTTGTTTTCCTGCTAGGAGCAAGGTAGCGCCTCCCAGAGGGCAGCAGTGAGAACCTCTCTTACAATGTGATTTGTGCTGCCAATGGTACATTTTGCCTTCTGGAGCACCTCCTGCTCCATGAAGAGTTGAGGTTGGCCATCTGCACACCTGTTGAGGATGTTTTACAATGTTGTTCAGGCTGTTTTTGTCTTTGACTGATAACCCATAAAACCAACAGGTAAAAGAAAAAAATTAAAAAACTTCCAATAAAAGAATGTTAAAAAGCACACAGTATTGGTTTAGAAACATTAAAAGAGCTGAGTTTGTGCAGCAGGTGGATTCTCAGTTGACCTCTTTTTGCAATAGAATCTGTGTTTTTGTCAAACCTTAGCTCTGAATCAAATGCTGTACCTAAGTATTTGTAGGAGTCCACATTTCCTCCATTTATGATACTGACCTCATGATCTAAATGTTTTTTTTTTTAAGTCAGCTATAATTTCTTTGGTTTTTGACACATTCAAATCCAAGTAAATGTCTTCACACCATGTGATGAAATTGGAGAGGGCCCTACTGTGGCCTGTTTCTGTGCCCTGCAGGAGAGACAGCAGTACTGTGTCATCTGAGAATTTGATAAGGTAGCTGCCCTCCTGACTGCTCCTACAGAGGTCTGTGTACATTATATACAGAATCGGAGACAAGACACAACGCTGAGGAGAACCGGTGTTTGAGAAGACACTTTCAGACAGTTAGACAGACAGATAAAAATCTTGGCATCATCAACTCCTTTCCTGGTCTGAAATGCAAACTGGAGAGGATCAAGTTTACTCTCTACAAAACTAAGGATAATTTATTTAAACATTTTCTCAATGTTTTTCATGACAAGAGAGGTAAGTGCTATAGGCCTAAATTCATTATTTTTTTCTTTTGGCCTTTGGGATTTGGGGATAAGCACAATGGTAGATGTTTTCCATGTATTGGGGATGTGCCCACTGTCCAAGCGCATTTGGAAAAGTCTGGTGAACACGCCACTAAGCTGCGCAGCGCAGTGGCGCAGTGTTTTCTCACAAATGGAATCAGGGCCTACAGCTTTATGAACATATATCCTTTTTGGCTGTTTTGTGACACTTTCCTGAGAAATCACAATGTTATTTTCCCTATTTTGTTCAAGCAAAGTACACAGCTTGGAATAATTGCCATAGAGGTGTGTCCTTTCAAATCTACAAAAAAACTGAATTAACCCTCTCCAGGCAGGCATTGCAGATTTGCAACAGCTAAATTCCAATTACCTACTTACTCCACATCCATATTATATGAGCTTTTTTTACTCAGGAGCCTTTTCTCCCATCCATGCTGATAAACGTGGGCGATGCAGACTGTGCAAGAATGGCTACACGCAAACGGCCTGCCAGAAGTGCAAAATACTTTTTTTTTTTTTTTTTTTACAAAGGATAAAAAAGTCAGAATTGTATATTACTACCCCATATTATATTTTTCCCCAAATATCAGATTTTTCCTGATACTAAAAATTAATTTGAGCCTGAGTGGGTTAAAAGCATTTGGTGGATCATTTGCATTTATACCATTTATATAGATAAGCTGTTTAGACTCAGTCTGAATGGTTAACAGATGCTCTGGATTCCTATCTAGGCTGCTCTTAAATCACCCTCAGTGTACTGCAGTTGAATCTTCTTTTTTATAGATTATTTTACCTTTCTTAATTTCATTTCCATTCTCTCTTGAAACAGCTTTCCTCTCTAAAAGATCCACCAGAGAAAAAGCCCTTTTCTTTTTATTAATGACATATTTAAGTTCTTTAGTTACCCAAGGTTTATTGTTTGGGTATATGATCACTCACTCTTCACACAACGTTGTATAGGAAGAAATTGTACTTGTCAATTCGTCCATGTTATCACAAGCATTGAAGAAGCATTCCCAGTCTGTGCACTCCAGTGATGCCTGAAGCGTCAATACACTGTCCTCGGTCCAGATCTGTAGCCTTCTTACAGAATTCAGAATGTCAGTCAAATGAGATTCAAAAACGTGTGGATTGAAATTTGTGTTTAGATTCACAATGAATGTGTATGAACTTTTTAAAGAAAAATATAGAAAAATGAAACTGACTAGAATATTAAAGTTTAATACCTCAGCACTGTTTTCATAGTGTATCTGTCCAGCACTTTGGAAACTGTCATGTTTATAAAATGTGCTATAAACCAGTGGCGGAGCGTGCATTTCACACCTAGGCCTTCAGTAGTGCTCTGTCTGAAACAATCCACTCCTCAATAACTATTTTATGGTTATAAAAGCATCTTATTACACAGAAACACAGTATAAAGATTCCGTGCACGGAGAAGTGAGGAGAGGGGGGTGCAAAACCAGGACTAAACCAGAACTAAACCAGGACTGTTTGTCGGGACTGGCCCGAAGGTGCGCTCGCATAGACTGTCGGGTGACCACAGACGAAAGGACCGCGCCGGGACCGGTGCTCCGCGCTGCACAGGGCTCAGTTCAGCTGTCACGCGATCGCGTTTTGCGGACACTCACTCTCGCTCTCTCTTGCTCTCTCTCAAGTCCAAGATTAGTCCTGATATAGTCCTGATTTAGACCTGGTGTAGTCCAGGTTTAAACCTGGTTTAGTCCTGGTTCCTCTACAAATGTAGTTTGCTGCTTTGACTGGTTCGCGCTCTGACAGTCCAATCACGGCTCTGAATCCGGTGACGTTGCCGTACGTCTGCTAGAAGACCCTGGCGACACCAACTCAAAATCTGATTGGCTGAAGCAACAGTTTCATCGATATTCATTTTGTGTTCGAGTTCCTGTAGAACGGATAATAGGATAATAGATCCATGAGTGTGAAAGCCTCAGGGACACTTCTTTGATTTTGACTCTGCCTAGCAACAAGTGACGACTGAAATATGATTGGTCAAATGCTTTAATATGAAAATACATGTGGGCAAGCAGCACAACCATCGAAAAAACTATGAAAGGAAGCGGACAGACCATTTGGAATTATTTAATAATAATATAAATAACATTAGCGTGTGATTCAGATACTTTTTAGGCCAGCAGAGAAGGCCTTGAAGGCCCTGATGTCCTGCCACTGCTATAAACATTAAGTGAATTGGATAAAATGCATGTGTTCTAGAAAATTTGTATTATTTGAATTTCTACATTCAAAGAGACAGAGTTTGTGCCTGAATCAGAACACTTTGATATAATATTGAACAAAATGACTTATGGCCTGTTCAGCATTTTGATGAACTGCAGGTGTTTTTAAATGTGCTATACAAATCAAACTGGATTTGATTTGACACTAAAGCTGTTCAGATAGACATAGATAATTTAAATATGTGTGATCTGATAGGCCTACATCCAAATTTTGGTATGGAGAAAAAGGAGTGGAGCAAATGATAAGAAGATACAGGGGACTAAGTAACACTGAGAGCTGGGCAATTTTTACGAACGAAACAAACAAACAAACACAAAACATGAACATCATTATACATACATTCTGCTGCTGCCCTCTAACGGTCAAATTTGAGGCACGCTCTACTGTACTTTTAACTCGTTATTTTTCACTTTTATGTCACTGCTTTTCATCATCTAAAATCCTGCCATTATCTAAATTAACCGGGATAACTATGGCATTTCTCTTTTTACTATTTTATTTGTGCTTAAGCTATACTATTAGGCTTCAGTGTTTTGCGAGCACGATTAGTTTGAACTGAAGCCCATGACGTCCCTGAACGCCTCGTGTTGGGGGCGGGCCGTTAAAGTTTTCAGGAAGTGTTGTTGATAATCTGACAGAACTTTGATAGAAAAGTTTCTTTACTTTCTTTTTAACTAACCAGCTAGTGTCTTCACTTACACCTCACAAAATGCAAAACACTGCATACGGTGCCTCCTTTGCCGGTGGTGCATTTGACTTGGCGAGTTTTTTTAAACAGCCGCAGACTATTTTGCGCATCATAAGTTGGGTGAGTGACTTTACAGAAATGTTGATAGCTTTGGTGGCGTTTGTCTAACAGATGGATGGTGACATATGGAGATATATTTATAGATATAAATGGTTTAACCATGTCATTGTTTGTCTCTCGGAGATTTTTGCCCGTGTGGCATCTGAACTATTATATTTTGCTTTTAATTTTTTTTTAAATTTCAGTTATATAAATTTAATCAGATATAAATAATCTGTCAATATGGTTGAAAACACGTTTGATACTGTTTTGTTTTGCCAGTTATTAACTAAAGAATGTTTAATACTCATTGTTTGACTGGAAACTGATTTGTTACCAAATGCTCTTCCCCGGTGCAGATCTTTTCCATCGTGGTGTTTGCAACGATCACTGCAGAGGGTTACATCAACACTCAAACTGAGTCTGAAAGCAAATGCATGTACAACCAAAATGACAGTGCCTGCAGCTATGCAGTGGGAATTGGAGTCCTGGCCTTCGTGGCTTGTGTCATTTTCTTGCTGCTGGATGCTTACTTCCCACAAATGAGCAATGCCAAAGACAGAAGATACATTGTCTTTGGAGATTTGGGGTTTTCAGGTAAGGTAGCCTTTACAACTGTAATCCATACATATTCTCTGTATTTATCTGCTATCTGTTATTGTCATTGCCAAGGTTTATGGACGTTGCTGTGGTTCATCTGCTTCTGTGTACTGGCCAGTCAGTGGCATCAAACAGAAACGACTGCGGTACCAGCTGATGCTGCTCGGGCTGGCATTGCTTTCTCATTCTTCTCAATCCTTTCATGGGTAAGACCCACTACTAACAGCAAGATATTTTCTTAATGACAAAGTGTAATAATCCACCATTCAAATGTCTTCACAGGGGCTCTTGTCTTATTTTGCATTTGTGAAGTATAAACAAGGAGTAACTGATCTGAACCAGGCCTACACAGATCCTGCCAATGACCACACCTCTCCTTATCCCCCGAGTGGTGGTGTACCAGCAGGATACCAACAGTCCCCTTTCTCCAGTCAAGGGCCTGGAGCAGGAGAGTACCAGCCACCCACTTACTAAAGACTCAAATATGCCTGTACCACTTTTTGGGACTGTTCACGCTCACTCTGCCTTTTATGTTTTGCTTTATTGGATGTCTGAGCATTTTATTTCATTTTGAGAGTTTGGTTTGGCTAGTTGTGCCATATTAATAAGACTTGTACCAGAACAGGTATTCCCACTTAACTTTACCAATGCATTGTCTTCAAGGAAGTAACCAACAGGGTTTGGTTGACTGTTTTAATAGTTCTGTCACTGATTGCTGAATATGAAGCTTTCATTATCAACTAGCACAGTGTGTAATGTATCTATACTATGGCTGCAATACCAAATGTTTTGCTTGGAAAATTTGTGACTGGTTTCAAAGTTACTGTTTGCTTTTGTTTTTCTAACCACTGAAAATTGGCTTTGTGCACTGAAAGACATTCAGCCTCACAGGGCTGTGATTATTGCATTTTTATGTACAAACTATAATTTAAAATTGTGTATACTTTTCAGGTAATTGTGTTTTATATTTCAATCTTGGACGAACATCATTTTATTGCTAAGTTACACAGAATTTAAATAGTATTTCTTTTTGTTGTAAATTTTTGGTCATAGGTTGTAACAAAGTTTTCCAACATTGTTCACTCGGTCTTTTATGAAATCATAAATGCTTTATAATAGTCATGTGATTTACAAAACAGTTCAAATGCCCTTTCTTTGCAGTGCTCTGTGTAACCTGACCTGCCAAATAAAACCGACCTAAACACGGATGCAAGTGTTAAGAACATAATTTCGGCAAATATTTGCATAGGCTTACTTAAAACGAACAGCCTACCAACGGTTTTGTGTTGTATTGGAGTTGCCATTCAATGAAAAAAAATGTGCATTTTCTGTTTTATAACTGTTAAAATCTAGGGGATGTGTATCACCTTAGAATCATTTGATTAATATTGCTGTAAAAGCAGAATTTGTAAGTATAGTCGTTAGTGACGCCTGGTGAAGGTACTTTCCTTTGGTCTTGTGAAGTCACCTGACTAGACTAGGTGTGCTCATGTAGAATTTTCACATTTCCGAGGGACACTCAAAGCAGCGCCATGCAGTGCGCGTAAACTGGCCACGTCATGTCGTCACCTGCACATACAGGAAGTGATAAGCGTCAGTGGAACGGTGGGACAACCAAGCAGAAAAATGTCAAGATGGTATTTAAACTTCACGTAAGCTTGGACGGAGAGCGGGACTTCGAGCATATGTGGTGAGTGTCATGTAAAGCGAAACACAGCTACGTGGGAAATGTTTCGGGGGGCTGTGAAGAGACCGAGGACTCCTCTTGTTGCCTGTTGAGGAGCAGCAGGCAGGGACCATTGAGGGACATAAACCGCACGTAGTAGTTATAGTTGCACACATCTTTGCTTTAGTCATAAATAGTATCGTCAAATGTGTGCAGGACACAAAGTATGTGTTTGTTTGAGAATATCTTCATCATTCCCGTATTTCGCCGGGTAAAAACGGACAAATATGTCTGTGTCGGTGATATGAGTGTTTAGACTTTAGTGTAATAATGCCCTATAGCGTTATTATTAACTAATAAACTATTTATGATACTTCATTAGGCCAACATCCCTTCTCCCGACTTAAGACACCGTTTCTTGCGTTCTGGTTTGTAGCCTTGTACACTAAGCATAATGCCTGTGTCAAAGATTTGAGACAGTGCACTATTTTGCAGTGTTTCATTTAATAGGCTATTTCTGTGCTGCTATTCAGGAAACTATTACATCACTCATTCATTAGAGTCACCTCTGGAACACGCACACCCATTCACCTTTACGCTAGTAAAAGGTAATATTTTCCTTAGTCATTGTATAAGATTACTTTTCTTTGACTGGATTGATACTTGACCAATGAATAAACCGCACTGTTTGAACTTTTGGACTTTGTTATAATCTTTACTCCAGCTAAAGTTCACAGCTATTGTGCCTCTGGTCTTAGTCCCCAGGCACATATTCAGGAGGGCTGACAAAAAGGTATTTTCTGTGAAGTTGTTGGCAAAGTTGAGATTAATGACTCAGACCTCAAGGTTGGGAAGGAGACGAAGGGGTAAGGGCATCAAAATATGTAACTTCATAATATTGTATGTGTATGTATTGAAGTTGTAGGCAAGATAATCTGTGAGAGTGTCTCAGTGATGCAAGGCCCTGGTTAAATGGTCTTCTGTTTGGCACAAGGCCTTTTTATGAAAGAGTCTTTCAGCTTCTCCTCTCCTTAACCTGAATCTTCTATCACAAGTGAGAGCTTTAAGAAACTAACTAGAAAAATCTTTATAGTTAGATTCCTTGATGTAGACCAGAATTACTACTATGCAATTTTCAAACTACACTCTCTCTGTCTGGTGAGTGTAGGGCATATCATAAAGTCAGTATCCTAATGTGTTCTCATAAGCCTGAAATTCAAGTCTTAAAACTGTCTGTATGCTTTTTGCCTTGTGGGTTATTTAAGAATTTCCTGATATACCTGAATTGCTTCTCCTCTTATCATAAATGATAGCGCCCCTCCCATTCTGTATGTACACAAAAGGGACTTGTGGCTTTGAGTAGGTCAACCTGCTTTTGTTAATGCAGTTTCATTCAAATAAGATGTGTGCTTTTACTCATATTGTCACATTTCACTTATGTGAGTCTGGATAACTAAAGAGGAAACTGGGTTGAAGAGACTTACATCTAATGAAGACTATGTGAGTAATTTGAATTGTGTGGCCCGTTAATAATGTTAAGATCCAGATGCTATGTTTTTAAGCATTGCACAGATTTCTTGAGTGTATAACCAGGACAAACAAGTCTGTCATCATGATTAATAACGACAACTATTGTATTCACCTGAAAAAGCGTATAGATTTTGTTGTTGACATTATGAAGACCAGTTTGTGTTCAGATAGGTGTTTTGTTATGGGTAAACTATGACTAATGATTTCATTTTGAGATTTTATCCACATTATTCAGTTATGAACAGTAATATTGATTCAATAAATTATGGAACATAGAGGATTTTTTTTAGCATAATTTGTCTTGTGTACTTCTTTACTGAGAAACATTTTGTCATTTTTTAGTAGTAAGATAAGATTTGAGCTGTAGAAGGTAGAATTAGTCACTTCTGTCTGTCTGTAACTCGTTATTGATATAAAGTAAGTGCTATTTATTGCAATTCATGTGTCTTCACAATATGGTAAGTTTAGAAAAGCATATCATGGGTTTGCTTTATGGTTAGCATGTTATGGTGTAGCAGTAAACATAAAATTAGTTATTTTGTTGTATATTGTCTATATTTGTTTCAGCCATATATTACACTTAAAATGTGACCTGTCTAATGAATGTGACCTGTCTAATGATGACTTATCTGTAATAAAGTGTTTATTTCTCTGTCTTTTTTGTAGGTCAGCGTAAGCCCTCCTCCTCCATGCCTGTAGTCCCAGGCAACACACGACTGGAGCAAAATGATCCCATGAACCCTCTGCGCATCTCTGTAGGAGGCCTCCCTTTGTTGGCTTCCATGGCCAAAACCACGGACTCTCGTTTCCGCCTAAAATGGAGGCCCATAGTTGCTGTGCTGCTCTCACTCGCTCTGGTTTTGGTGCTTCTCATGCACCTAAACTCAGGCTTTCACTCCAGAACTTCCACCAGTTGGAAGTCTAGTTCTAGGCAGTCCAATCATGAGGTCCTTTACAATGACACCTATCCCCTCACTCCACCTGAGCGCACACCCCAGGGCACCCGCTACCGCATTGGGGTCATCGCTGACCTGGACACAAGCTCACTGAGTGACAAGAAGTTGACATGGTTCAGTTACATGCGGCGAGGACACCTGCTGGTCTCTGAGAGTGGGGACAAAGTGAGTGTGGAGTGGGATACAGAGCGCGTGGTGCTGGAGAGCCACCTGTCAGAGAAAGGACGAGGAATGGAGCTGTCAGAACTCGTAGCATTCAATGGAAAGTTGTACACTGTGGATGACCGCACTGGAGTAGTGTATCAAATTGAAGGAAACAAGGCTGTGCCCTGGGTCATTCTGCCTGATGGGGATGGCAGTGTTGCCAAAGGTTCATTGTATAATGCAATTACTATAGCATGATATACATTTTAAATATACTAAGTGTATTCTGAACATTTGGGACAATAATCCATTAATCCTGTGTTGATAGGCTTTAAAGCTGAGTGGCTTGCAGTGAAAGATGAGCATCTCTATGTTGGTGGTCTGGGGAAGGAGTGGACAACTACTGAGGGTGAATTTGTCAACAATAACCCTGAGTGGGTGAAAGTGGTGGGCTTCAGGGGAGATGTTCAACACGAGAACTGGGTGCCTAGGTACAAGGCTCTCAAGGTGGCTGCAGGAATAGAACCTCCAGGTAAGATTAAAATGAGCTGAGATGTGCACAAACCTGTTATGCCAGTCCACGCCCATTTTTAGTATTTAAAGAACTAAATTTCAGAAATGTTTTGTAAGGTTGGCTTGGCGTGTAAAACATGTACATACATTTCTAAACCGTTTGATAGTCTCTATATGCAGTATGTAATTACAGTTTCCATTCCCCACAGGTTATTTTATACATGAATCAGCGGCCTGGAGTGACACGCTGCAGCGCTGGTTCTTCCTTCCTCGCCGTGCCAGTAAACAGCGCTATGAGGAAACCGCAGATGAGCGCCGTGGCACTAACATGGTGCTCAGCTGTTCAGCGGACTTTAAAGACATCCGTGTGAGCCATGTGGGGGACCTCAACCCCACTCATGGCTTTTCCTCCTTCAAGTTTGTTCCCAACACAGATGACCAAATCATCCTGGCTCTGAAATCTGAGGAAGATGCTGGTAAAATAGCTACATACATTATGGCCTTTACTCTTGATGGACGCATCCTCCTGCCAGAGACCAAGATTGGTGATGTGAAATATGAAGGAGTGGAATTTATTTAGCGCACTGACAGACTACAAAGTCTTCACTATTAGGGCCACTGCTCCGTGGTCCTGTCCTGTTTACATTGCAGTCGCTGTTGGGAGTACAAAAAGGGGCAAAGTTCCAGTTTCTAATTTCTTCAAATAAAAGCCTCTACAGTACTGTACAGCTTTTTAAATGATGAATGTAAACCAAATTATACATTAGACTGTGATTTTATCTGTAATGTTTCATTTTATACATAAAACATGTCTGGTATTGCACAATATTTCACATCCAGATCTGCTATTTTATTTGAACTTTGAAGGATATATTTTGTTGTAAATTAAGTGTTGCGATATGTAACCTGTTGGGGCTAAGTAAAAAGAAAAACGTTGAATACAGTTCTGTGTTTTTACTACCATTTGTTCCTGTTATAACTACTATCTAACACAAGTGACGACATGTTGTCTATTACACAACACATTCAATCTGGGTTAGAAGTGAAACGAAACTTAAACCAGTCTGTAAGTCTGGTTTTGATGCAAGAGAAGCACTTCCTTGGGTCCAAGCTGGTGAAGGTAGGATTTTCACACTTTAATGATTATTGTATGTTGCATAGTTGCGCACAGGTCATATTTGCACAGATTTTTAGTCTTGATGAACGAACTTTGTATTATTTCCATGTATTACCATTTAAAAGTTTATATGTATCTTACCATCTTAACCTACAGTTTAATTGTCCTTTTTTGTCAATTTTAGACTGTACCTCACTGTTCTCCAAAATGTTCAAATATCAGATCTTTTGCTTCTTGTGGCTGTGGCTACTTCTCCTGGTATGCAACGTATCCGGGCAGTTCAGCAACTTCAGTGAGTTGATTTGACATGTGCATTACGCGGAAATCATTGAGCTGATACTTCTGCTGCAGTAGTTATTAGACATTGCTGTGTTTCTGTGTAGAGCGGAGTTCGGAAGTGCAGGAGGGCGACGTAAGACTTACAGGCTCTAATCTCCTCTTTGGGGGTCGAGTGGAGATCTACCATGCAGGAGAGTGGGGGACGGTGTGCGACGATGGATGGGACCTCAATGAAGCCCACGTTGTGTGTCGCCAGCTGAAATTCCCTCGTGCAAAATCTGTTCTGACAGGACAAAACTATGATATAAAAGGTTAATTTCCCCTTTCTACCAGAAGAGGGCGGTGTTCACAATCAAGTAATAAGTATCATTGTCTTTTATTATAGCTCCTGGGCCAATATGGTTGGATGACATGGAATGCAAAGGTACAGAGAAGTACCTACATGCTTGTATTTTCAAAGGATGGGGGATTACAGACTGCACCCACAAGGAGGACGTTGGAGTACAATGTGATCCAGGAGGTATTGAAACCATGAACTATTTTGCTAATACTTTCATGATGATTTGCTAATACTTTCATGATGTTTAATGTTACAAATAATTTTTTTTTTAGTTGTGTCAGAATTACCACTCTCATCCTACACCCTTGATCACAGCATTGGGTTGTCTGATCATCTGAGTGAAATTTTCAACAATGAGAGATTCTGCGATCTTACAGTCACTGCTCAAAGTTCAGCTTCACAAGCCAAGACACTGCAAACAACGGATTCAACAACATTTTGTGCACACAAAGTGATACTCTCATATGTGCAGGCTTTCAATATTACAACAGATACAAAAAACATTACAGTTCAAATTGTACCGGACTGCATACCACATTTTCCCTCCTTTATAAGGTAATAATTAAAAATATCTAGTTAAAAGTATTGCTAGTACTAGTATTATGATAGGATAAATGGTTGGAAGAGTAGCGAGTGGGTCTGATCTAAAAAAAAAAAAAAAAAAAAAAAAAAAAATCCATACAGCTAAACTACAATTACATGTTTTAAAGTAGTAGTTTTTGCTAAGAAAGGTACAAAATCAGACTGATATAGTTACATTTATGTTACATATAATGGCTTGATTGATTGAAGAGTATATGCAAATGTAGGCTTTTATTTGCAATAGCCTAAATATCCGACCTTAAAATGCTGAAGAATATCACTTCTTTCTTTAGGTACCTGTACACTCGTAGGATTGATGCCGTTTTCTCCTCAGTGCAATGTCTTCACTGGTTGGCCTCTCAGTTTGGGATGGAACAACTAAAGACGGACACAGGTCTTCTCTTCAGGCAAATACTTCCTGATGACAGCTCCTTTGAAACACAAGTGTCTCTTCATGAATATGCCTTAGAGACCAAAGACTTTTTACTGCAAGAGAACTGTCTCCGTTTTTTGGCCTGGAATTTCGAGAACTTCACCAGGAGTTCAGTTTGGGCCCAGATCTCTGAGGGTCTCCTCAGTGGTCTTTTGCTTCGCTCAGATTTAGTTGTGTCTGATGAGTTATATGTACTTAAGGCTGTGGAAGACTGGATCTTAAACAATGCTAAAACTAGTTTGGACAGCCAGGTCAGGCTGTTATCTCTAGTGCGATTTCCCATGATTCCTGCTGAACAGCTGACTGTCACTCAAATGATGTCAAACTTCTCACTTTATAACACGCATAAGAATGTCTTTAATGAAAACATTCTCAAGGCCCTACAGTTTAATATCCAACTTTTAACCAGTATTAAATCCGGAGTGAAGATGGTCATTAATGATGTTGCTTACCAACCACGGATCTACACCTCTTCCTTGTGGAGCATTTCCTTCAGTCTCTCTGGGCAAACACAGTCAGGTGGTTTATATGGTACACCTTCACCATATGGTCCATCATACGGATCATCATATCGTTCATATGGTTCACGGAAATCATATCGTTACAATGATGATAGACGTAGGTCTATCTATACCCCATATCACAGCAGCTCAATCTTCCAGGACAGAAGAATAAACTGGGCTGCAGATATGTACATGAACCAATATGAGTGTTCAAATCGAGGTGTGAGGTGTCAGTCTCTCCCAATGGCCAGTCTCCTAAGTTATGAAGCCAACTCCAGTCCAGGTGTTGTGTTTCACAACAAGCTTGTGCTACTGTGCCAGGACAGGTATGTATGTGAGGTTCAGGACTTCAAGAACAATTTGTCATTTCTGTCCACAAATGCTACACAGTCTCTGACCTACCCATGCCCAAATGACGAGTACACATTTATTTTTGTAGTGAGACCTGTGTACAATTGATAAACAGGAAGTTTCAAAAGTTCCAATCATTATAATAACTGAGAACAATGTATGCATCTTTATTGTTATGTATTGAATATTTGAAATATGTTTATCTATTGTCTATCTTTACCAATATAATATATACTGACTTTTATAATCACTGGTGATTTTATGGGATACACACAAATAAACTGTTTTCAGAACTCTCTGGTTTTCTCGCATTTTGTTCCCTGATCTAAAATATACTACAGGTTTGAGTGTGAGTTTCCTTGTAGGCTGGCTTCCAGTAAATGTTACACTGCATAAAAAAATAAATAAATACATAACAGGAAAGGACAATGTATCAATGCTAATATTATATTGTGTTTTTATTTGTTTATATATATATAATATATATATATATTTGCATCAGTTCAATATAGAAAACAAAACAAAAAATCCCTGATATTTAACACTGATTTTATTCTAATCTTCAAAATTCAACTAACTATATAATAACCCATAATTATCTTTTACAAAAGTGAGACTTGATTTGTGAAGTAGCCTTGATATATTCTATACTATTCATATGTACATTGGAAAATACAATGATGAAAGTACATTTTGTCTCTTCATACCTTCAAGTTTACCTGTTTTGCTGTGTCACCTATTGGAGAGACTGACAACAAGTACATGCATGTTTGGACAGGCTTTTTGTGATCAACCACAGTTTACAACATAACATGACTCCAACATTTCTGAGAAGTCTGGAAGGATTTGTAAGCACAAGACAGTTCTTCTGTTTTGAAGAGAAGGTTTACTCACTCTGATTTTGAGATTGCTTGGTTTATTGTGACTAACCTGGTACATACTTATCAAATGTTCTGACATGTTAATTATTTTCCCAAATGATGAAACACTTTATGAGAGTATACATGAGTTTAAGTCTGTGTGAGTATGTAATATACCATTGGAACCTTTCTCTCTGGGATTTAAATGAAAAATAGCAAAAAGTAAAGTACCCAGATGTTTTGGTGTGAAGAAATTTGGACTAGAAACATGTATGCATGAAGGTATGTAAGGTGCATCTATCTAAACGGCAAACTTTTATTTAAAATGTGCTTTACAATCTTGACAGGCATCTCAAAAATAAACACGACTATACCTCCCTTCCTAAACTGATAACAAAAAATCTCTAATAGCAACTCTGGGAAACGTGGCTGCCAATATGGGCTCTTCCTACCCCTCTGACCATAATTTTAGGAAGTAACTGAATACATATACTATATTCAGGTACAGTTACTTTTTCATTTGGTGGCATTCAGAACAGCTACTTTTCTAAACGGTATTTGATCATCATTAAACTGCACACAATCAGTGATCAAAATTAAAAACACAGCTTGTGGTGAGTCCAGTTATTGACAGGAAATCTTTAAAAATGATAAAACAAATATAAAGCTGTTTTAATACTGTGATGCATTTTTTACATTATAATTTAAATGCAACTCAAAATATTCTTGATGCTGACATCTTTCTGACAAATTCAAATGCAGATCTTGCTCGTTTCCATTGTTTTACTGGAGAATTTCACACAACTTTCAGATACTGCAGCATGTTTAATTCTGACATGGGCCAAAATACAGACTTTCACAATTTCTTACTCCACACATGAAGATTTCCCCAGATACGTTGCCTCAGACCACCTCATTTTCTGTTCTTTAACTGTACATTCAGAGGTGAAAGGTCAAATGAGCGGTGATGGTTGTGATTGATAAATTATTAACTCATCAACACACTATCAATTGTGTACCTCTGCAACTGCATTTTGACTTTGTAGGGCTGTATTGTCCCCATCACTGCTGACCACCACTAATAAATCAAAATGTCTTGCCCAGGGACACAACAACATTAAACACTAGTCAGAGCTGGGATTAAACCAGTGCATCCAACAATCTTCAGGTTTGTAAGTGAACACTGTCTCCTGAACCACTGCTGCTGCTCCGTGGACTAACAGTTGTAAATTCAATCCAAAAACATTCCAAGATCCTGGCAGAAACTGAGATCTTCCACACTTCACAGTCCATATGGTCTGGGGTTGGGAGTGAACAGAAATTACTATTACTTTAGACAGTGAAAGTTTGTAAACTAGTGACTCACTAATTGTAACAAATCCTTGTGGGCAGTGTGCATCCCCGACCTGCAAGTCACCATACCACGTAATCCTATTATTTCTTCCATGAGATGTTTTCTTTTCTCTCTTACTGTCTGTGCTTATTCACTCCTGCACATGTTTTAACATACAATTGTAGTTGGACCTTTCCTTATATGGGCGTTAATATGGGCAAAGGGGCATTGGTCAGTGGTCAAAGGAAGTGGCCCACTCCACCACACCACCCACCAGTTTCCACAATGAGACCCACTTTTTTTGTCCTGCCAGGCACTTCCCCTTGAGTGTATTCCTGGCATTGAAAGTCTATCATTTGGGTATTACGGTTGCTTTTTAGCTTTTGTAGTGGTACACACAAGTCTGCTTACTTTGCACTTCTTTCAAAAATCTACTCAAAACCAAATGTTGATATGATAATCCAGGTTTTCGAGCAGTGGGAGTGAAACCAGGTCTAAAAGAAGATTTGCAGTATGGGAAAAGAAGCCATGGAGTTGAGAATGGTTATCTTGTGAGATCATTTGTAATTGCCTACAGGAGCCAAAGTTGCTACATTGCTCAAGATCACACGGCAAAAAAAAAAAAAAAAAAAATAGTGTCCAAAATGTTATTGTGGAATTACTTCAACTTTTTCAAATTTAAATACCAGAGTGAGCAAAGTGTAGTTTTTTGTTTTCTAATCTTCCCTTTAATGTTAAAGAGCCCATATTACACTGTTTTCTGATCTATCTTAGAATGTTCTTTCCTCATCATCATAAACTACCTGGAGTTGTGTTTTGTTTCATTCACACATGTTTAACACAAAAATCTTGCATATTTGAGCTGAATTTTTCTCTCAAACAAACAACAAACAATCTCTACTGTACTAAAAGTAAGAAACTACCGCATGACATCTCAAGATTGAACAGAGCATTTTGAGCTTTGGAGATGTTGACAGACTAATAATAAAGGATTGCTCAAACATGTGTGAATGAAACAACACACAATTCCAGGTATGTTGATGAGGTAACAATGTTCTAGCATGGCTAGTATAGGACCTTTAAAATACAAGAATATTTCAGTATTTACTATAACATTGGCAATGACTAAAATGGCCTAAATTCTTTATTTTTAGTGTCTCATAACTCTCTGAAACAATAATTTATAGTTTATCGTATCACAACCTGACAGAACTGGGCTATTGTAAAGACATGGAAAATATCTGGCTGGCGTTCATACAAATCTCTAGTGGAATTAAAAAAACAACATTTTTATTCATCCCGAAAAATTGTGTGTCATTGGTAGAGCATTTGCGTACACACCAAAAACAGTTAAAGCTTTCTGAACTTTTATTTAGCAAAGCCACAAATTTTTATCTTACTTGATTGAACACAAGGCCTTTAGTTGTTAAGTCGATTAATTGGGGGATGGAATCTTAGTCAACGAAACTTTATTTTTTTTATTAGACTCAGACTTTTTACTCTTGGATGTGTGCGTCATTTCCTCTGCCCTGTACTTGATACTGTCTCTTTTACGTGCTTGGTAACTTCCACTAGACTACGAGTCATAGCCACTTGTGAAATCATTGACAGTTGGGATATTTGTCATCCTGTGTAACTTGAGCTACCATAACCGTAAACACAAATAATATGCCCACCAAAACACCTACAATGAATTGTCCTCATTTCCCAACTCACTGTCTTTGCTTTTCAGACACATGAGAGGAAAAGCGACTAGACAAAAAATGCAAATCTATGGAAAAGAACAGGAATATTTGCCAGTGTGGCCAGAGGTAGGTGCCAAGTATGATGTCATGGAGCAAAGCAGCCACAATATATCCAGTCCTTATTCGTTTTTCATCATCATAGCTAATCATCATATCACTCTGAGCCATGCTATAAACGCCAATATCAACATAAAAGACCACAAAGTTTAAACTAAAGAGTCAAAACTTCTACTGTTTGCAAGGGGGGTATACAAAAAGTTTCAAAAATACTTCAGTGCTTGTGTCAAGGCATGAAAAATGAGACAAGGTCCATGACTATAACATAATGATAGTATGAATTTTACATGGGTTACAGGGAAACGCTGAAGCCATAATGTTTAAAAGGGGATGCCACTCTTCTTCACTGTCTTATTATAATGGCTTCTCAAATGACATTCCTTTGACTTTTAACATAGCCCATAAGAACAGTCTAATATGTTTGAGGGTAAATAATAGTTTACAAGAGAAGTCTGCAGTCAAAACAAAAGCTAGTATTTCCAAGGTAAACAATACAAATTAGAAACATAATTTTCTATTCCCAATATACAAATTAAGTCTTTCAGACTTGAAAAGTTTTTTGTGTGACAAAATAAATTAAATAAGCCTGTTGAATACCTGAATAATATAAATGATGATAGAGGAAAGGAGCTTACAGAATTTTATATTAAAAAAATTTAAATGCGATTATGTTGGGGCAATCCTATTGTCTATGATATGTTCTGCTTTAAGGCAATAATTATAAAATCCAGTGACATTTAATAAGAACAGTGAAATTTCATCCCCATACACCCCTATATACTATTCTATATTATTAGTAAATGGGTCCACATAACTTATCACCTCTAAATGCCCATGAGGAGACAAAGCTGGAAAAATGTTCTCCAATTGTCCTATTGTAATATTCATAAATACTAATAATGTAAGTAATAAGCCTGAGTTTTTCTCATTCTCAGTATATGAAAAGTCCATGCTTCATGCGAAAGCTCAGAACCTCCAGAATTCCCTCATGGAGCTACAGAGGCTGCACTAGCACTGATTCATGAATGGCTGCAGGTGCTGGATAGCGCGGATCCTGATCAGATAGGGTGCTTACAGTTCCGTTAATGACATGTCTGTTTCCCTGTAGTTAGTACCCAAAATTATGAAACCATAACGGGTCACTGTCTCGTAAAATGGGGAACTATTTGCACATTTTACGTGTGCAGTTCAGGGTCAGATCGGGGGACACAGCATAATGTAATTTCCATGGAAATCAATTAATTACAGAAAAGGATGACTAAAATTTAGAGTAAAGAAATTAGTACCCCGACCTCTGCGTTTTGCACTTTAACTATATGATTGGCTATGACCACAGAAAGGGCGGGGTCTATTTTCTGGCTGCACCAATAAAACTCAGCTGCTACTTACGACAGTGAGAGAAAAACACAGTTGGGATGTGCAGACTTCCACTAGAATGAACTCTCTGTTGTGACTCGTGCATATTTGCTCGCATTTAGTTTTACGCTAGTTTGTGGTACTTATTAACTTTTTGTGCGTTTCATTGTTCCTCACTTAGAAGTTGCATATTTTCCAAAATGTCTAGGACAGCGAACAGCGTTCTCGTCACTCTGGCCATCCTTTTCATTTGGCGAGTGGAAAAACTAGCAGAGGCCTGTAGCTGCTCTCCTGCGCATCCCCAGCAGGCGTTTTGCAACTCAGACGTCGGTAAGTGAAGAAATATTTTACACATTTAAAATAAGGACAAATTATTCCGCTTTCCAGTTTATGCCTAGCACACAGAGTCGGGTGCATAATAGGCTATAGTGGCCTATTATTTACACATCTGGAAGTATGGAAACTTCTGACTCATTCTAGATGCCCCCTCCCACCTCTGTAATGTCCTGTTGACAGTGGAGAGGTTTTATAGCCCACAGTCTCATTGCAGCGCTTTGTGCGTATGGTGGTGGGCTGTAATGTAGGTGAACGAGTCCCCATGAGCTACTTGCAATTTAAAGGCTAGCCATAGTCCTTGTATCTAAACTATACTTTAGATAGTGTACAAAAATCATTTCATTTGGTTAATTGGGCTTATGATTCAACAGTAGACTGTCTGTTCTAGTATTGGCTATTGGTTTTTTCTTCATGGTTTTGGATGTGAGGTAGGCTATGTCCCAGTGTAAAGAAGAGGTCCATTCAAAAGTTGCCCTTGCTTTTGGATCCAAAGACTTCACAATGTTCTCTTTCAGAGGATAAACCTTATAGGTTACCATTTATGCAGCAGATTAGATGGCAGATTGAAATAAACTTTAAATTTATATTTTACCACAGTTTCAATTAACCAACAGTAAGAGAAGTCTCATAAGAGCAGAGCTCAGTTAACAAACGTTGACAGTGCCTCTAAACACCAGAGCCCTTGATCCCTTTAACTCTCCATACACTATCAGGGTGGTGGTATGCGTCTGAGATGGAAAAAAAAAAAATCATGAAAAGTGATGTTTTGGCACATTAAGTTGTTGGCAGAAACTTTGCAAAGGCGACTGACTTCCCGCTGTAATGATGTGGTAATTCTGCACAGTAAGACATTTGAAGGAGAAACTGCCATTTAGTGAAAGTATGACTTACTCAACACAGAAGTGTGGGGTCACTTTGGAAAACTGCTCACATGTATTTATCAAGCTTTTTATAACGGCTAATCATTTAGCCATTTAAACAACTCTGCTGTTTTATTTGGTTTACCTCATTTCAGTGTTTCCTTACTTCGTTTTACTGTTCAGGCATAATGTTCTTTTCCTATGTCCAGTCCAAAGGAAAAGTGTCTTTTGGCTGGAGTTGAGGAATGCCGCTGGTCATGCTGTGTCATGTATTTGCTTCCCTCTGGTTCCTCCTAAAAGTGAATGGACTTCCGGTATAAACAGCCCGTGTGCAAGCTGTTTAAACAAAGAAAACATTAAAACCAGATTTCCCATCATGCAATCAGACTTCATCAACCGCTGCTTGCTTCACTATAATAACAGTAGGCCTGTAAAGATAGAATATCAATATGAATATGAGCTGCTTGGTTCTATTCCACTCAAGTCCAGCCTCTGAGTGGGCTCCTAGAGTCAAACAAAGCGGGAAAGACCCTACAATTATATGACATGCAACTGTTTCTTCTTTTCCCTGGGCAGCATTTACTGTATGGGTTTGTACAAACAAACATTTACTGTAAGAATGGCCAAGACCATGGCTGACTATGAAATCCTAAGGCTGCTAATTTTTTCCCCATACTCACCAGTAATTATTTTTTATATTTTAGGTATTAGATGTATATACTTTTTAAACTGCCCTTTCCATAATGGGAATAATTTCCCTTATTAAGACTAATATAATGTACAAAATGACATTTCTAAGCATACACTGTTTATATTATTTCATGCCCTTGAGAAAGTTCATTTTAAGATGCAGCATGGTTGGTTGTTTGCTCACATCTGCTTATGATCCAGTCTCCTGGAACCATCCTTTACCATAATTTAGTAAATTTCATGCCAGTATAGTTTCATCACTTTGTATGCCACCATTGATTTGCTGTGATTGGCTCTCGATCAATTGTCAGCACACTTGTACATCTGGAATTACATGAAAGAAGTTTGCTTAAGGCATTACTCATGATTTCTGTTGGACACATGCCGTTTTGCCTCTGTAGCTTTGAAGCTTATCCATATTGGTCTAATAATAGTTGGCTTGAATGATTAGTTTTTCCTTCTCAACTAAACAGTAAGTCTTGAGTGAAAAGACATGACAAGTGAAATAAAAATGTAGATTTGCTTGTCAGCATCTTGATCCAGACTGGCCTGCCGAGAGACGGAGGCCCAGAAACCATTGGAGTTGAGCGTTTAAGAATGCTGACTGGTTTCCTCTGTGCTCTGAGAGGGCAAGCACAAATTCCTTCCTTTGATTGCAGCTGATGAAACACTGATGTCCCACTGTTTCCCAGTACCTGGCACATGCTGCAAGCCCTTCATAAGCAAAGTGATGAGAAAAACTATATTTACTTTGCACACAGAGATCAAATGTTTTAGCTGCATTATTACAAATGTAAACTGGTATGTGCATTTCAGTTATTCGAGCAAGAGTGGTTGGCTCTCAGGTGATTGATGCAGGCAATGACATCTATGGAAATGCCATCAAAAGAGTCCAGTATGATGTGAAGACGATCAAGGTACTGCTTATAATCTGGATTTCAGATCTTTTCCTGTTTGTGGTCATTTTTCATGTAATGTTTTGTTTCTACTATTAGATGTTCAAAGGTCCAAACCAGAATTTTGATGCGATCTTCACTGCACCCACTTCTGCAGTGTGTGGGGTGACTCTAGAAACCAACAGCAAAGAGTATCTCATCGCAGGTATAGCAACAATACAAACAGCAACAAGTTTACAAAGGTCTTGTTTTTTTTTGTTTTTTTTTTATAACTTTATTTTTTTCAATTCATAGGCAAATTGGAGTCTGATGGGACAATGCATGTAACCCTTTGTGACTTCATTGAACCTTGGGATGGGCTAAGTGCTACACAGAAGAAAAGTCTTGTTCAGCGGTATGAAATGGGTTGTGACTGCAAGGTAGGAATTTGTTTCTTTAAAATAATATATACATATAAAAAGTAGAATTTTAATGTTTTTTCCAATTTTTTTTTTTAGATCACTCACTGTACCTCCATCCCTTGCACAATCAGTGGACCAGCAGAATGCCTATGGACAGATTGGGTCATCGAAAAGAGTGTGAATGGAAATCAGGCCAAGCATTTCGCCTGCATCAAGAGGAGCGATGACTCCTGCGCCTGGTATAGAGGGTCTGCTCCACCAAAAAAGGACTTCCTGGACATAGAAGACCCCTAAGTCCAGCACTGTGTTTTTGAAATGTCTGCATTTACCAGGAATCTCAAATGCAATAATTGTACAATACAAATGCAGGACTCCTGTACCACAAACCCTGCACTTCACAATCTACTACTATAAAGCACTTCTTCACCACAAACCACTTAATTTTCAGCTGATATAAAGGGGCCTTCATAATGCAGTATTATGTTATACCTGTATTCATGTGCTGATGTCTTTGTTTGTACTATAACTATAATTAAAGTAAATGTTTAAATGTTTAATCAGTAGTTTTACTGGAAGCTGGCAACCAGTCATTATGTCAATCAAAGCACGGGAACTGCCTTTTGCCTGTTGGTTTAGCATTTTCAGTGTGTTTATAATATGTTTTATATTCTTCAAATCATTTTGTTAACAAAAGGAGAAAATGCACTTTGCACACATGCGGATCAACAATTGTTCTATAATAAATGTTTGCGGAGGATTGAATCTTCCTTTTTGTACTTTCATGCAGTATTTTATCAAATCTTCATTTGCTTTAGTAGGCTTTTAGGCTTGCTTTTTTTATTATTCAATGGGATATTTTTAAATAAGTAATTATTTCAATACAGTTTGATAGCTATGTCTGAATGCAGCCAGGGTAAGCAATGGAAGAACATAGAAATAATAAAGTGTCATGAACAAAATGTGATAGTGTTCATGTTTTAGCATATTGTATATTATTTTAAAAAATGCGCCTTACTTTAAATTTGACACGTTGACTGTCAGGATCCCCAATGGCCGACACAGCGCTTATTAAATTGAATCTACAATGTCGTTGCCACCTGGTGGAGAGTCTTGGAGAGGCATCTACAATCTTTGACAGTGACAGTACCTCAAGAGGCTTGTAGTTCTCTTGAGCCAACAGCGACCAAAAGTGTGCCAAATGTCACGTTGCGTGGCTCGTGTTGCACAAACGCAAACCAACTGCTGCATAGATCTGAATTCTAAAGAGGGGCAAATGACTGAAAGCCTGTTTAATGGGAGTTAGCTTCTATACGCCGTAAGCACAGGTCAAGTGTCCACTGAGCACAAGTACAAACAAATAAGGCCGCCTGTCTAATTAAAAAACTGTTACCATGTATCATTCCAGCTGCATCAATGGTAAACAGCGTCCTCTTGTTGTAGGCCTACAGCGCAACGTCAATCTGCTGTTTGATTGGCTAACACAATGTGCGTCTACATTGCTTCTTCTATGATTGGCTCTTCAACACTGTCCATCAGGCTTTGCCCCGCCCTCTTATAATGCAGCATGGGCGAAAATACCAGACCCAAGTGCTACAGCTGAGAAAGCAAGACCTCCTTAGACTGCGCATTTCTCTTTATAAGCAAAAGGTAAGCGTGTGATTGGAATTTGATCGGATGCTATGTTTAAAAATCAGCTTTTTGGTCGTCATGTCGTGGTGAAAGTTCTACGGATCTGGCGTCTACAACTTGTCAACCCCGGGGACGCCACATTGCAGCTCACAGAGGCGCGAGCCACGTTAAGTTAGCCGATAGCTGGTGTGCTAATGATTCTGTCTGTTTAAGATGGACAAATGTGACAAAGCAGCAAGTTCCTCTAAATGTATGACTTACACAATACTCATACACATGTTATTCTTTACATGTTAACGTGAAATAAGGTATGGCATTGTCTCGATGTTGTGTAATGCTCTGTAGCCAATGTGATCACGGGTTAGCAGCACTGTAGCTTTCTAGCCTGTGACAGTGGCTCTGATGATTGGCCCATGTAATGTAGATCGTAGACCTACAGTTTGTCACGAAAAATACTTTTTATTTATTTATTTTTTTAATAAATGGCAAACCAAATCTACTAAGACGCTTTAATTCAGGAGGCGAACTGAATTTTATGTATGCCTTTTCAGTTTTCATATAGGCTAACCTGCATTAAATCATCTTTTCATTCTAAGTGTTAGAAATGAGCGTTTAATGCAAACTTGGACTCCACTGCAAAGGAAAAGCGATAGAGGTAGAGGCTTTTTCCACCATCTGTTCCAAAGTTGCTGGTTCGGTCCCCAGTCCTAAGGTAGTTAATTTATATTGTCTCCTTGGGCAAGACACTATGTGTTAGGCTACTGATTTATGAGTATGTCTGATGGACTGATGTAAAGGAGGCACCCCCTTTCACAAAGTGTGTGTGTGCAGTGAAGATAGAAAAGTGCTATGAAGCCCTTTATAACAATGAATATCACTCTTGACTCGGATCACGAAGAAATCATATATTTACTTTGTATTAACAATGTTAATGATACAATGTGTAATCAACATGGATTTTCATCCCTCAGCTTAGTAAATGTACTAGTTTTCACTGTAATATGTGCATTAGATCATACTGGGGACAATAGTACACATTATTTGCACAGTTCAAACAATTTAGCTCATGCCTTCAAAATTTTGTTAAAAAGTAGAGAATAAAGGTAATAGCAGCTGCCAAAATCGGCTTGGGAAAGAATGAATTGCATTTGTTTAAAAAAAAAAAAAAAAAAAAAAAAGTATTTTTTATTGTCAAAAAGACGCAATTGAACGGATTTTGTATTGAACCTAGTCAATGGCACTCCTTTTTTTTGTCTCTTGACAATAAAGTGGAAGAACTTTACAAAACTCCATTAGATAGAAGCTTGAGTAATTATTACCTCATAATTACACAATGTTTTAATGTAAATAACCCTCCTTTAGTGACTGTTAACAATCTGGTCAGCTATTTCTTTCTTTCCCCAGGTGGTTCTCATGTTTTGGTTGTTCTTATGTCAGCATCCAATGTGAAGGTCATTGTGCCCTTGTGCATTCGATGCATGTTCATTCTGTCTTCCTCTCTTCATGACGTCACTGCCCACTCAGATGAGCACAACCCTGATCCTCCATGTCCTCCTCGAATCATTCATCTGGACTCTGTGCAGTAGTTTATTGTTTTTGGAAAATACTTCCTTTTCCATATTTAACCTATTGATGTTTGATCCATTCAGGTGGAAAAAAAGTTTAAAATAACAAGTAAAAACAACAACATAACCATAATTGTGTCCACATTTAAAAAACTATTCCTGTGAGAACACAATTTTTTTGCAAAACTGAGCATTTCATGACATCAATCAAGTGGTTTATATTGACACAGGATTATTATGGTGGTCTTACAATGAATAGCATTATGCAGTATTATGTAATTATAGGAGAGGTTTTGGCCAGAGGTGATGCTGTTTGTTGAAAGGTTCTTCACTTGTCAATCACACCTCACTGTGTTATGCTGTGTTTCTGCAGTAATGTTTCAACAATGCCGATAGTAGATAAACTCAAGGAGGCATTGAAACCTGGACGGAAGGAGACTAGCGATGAAGGAGATCTCAACAAATTGCTGGCGTCTTCAGCAAAAAAGGTCCTTCTGCAAAAAATTGAGTTTGAACCTGCCAGCAAAGGATTCTCCTATCAGCTAGACAGTTTAAAGAACAAGTATGTGATCCTCAATCCCAAGAATGAGGCTGCTCCTGGACAGAAGGTCGCGGAGCCTGTCCAAATCAAAAGGCAAGGTAGGAAGAGATGTGGCATCTAAGAATGATATTGTCAGCTTTGAGTATATTTTTTTAATTAATTAAAATTTTAAAATGTATATATTTCAGCCACAGAAAATGTCATAGGAAATCAGAGCGATGGTATCCCAGCTCCTCAGAAATTCCTTTTCTCTGGGAATAAGCTGACCCTTAAATGGGAGCGAGTGTACAGAGTGGGAGCCGGTCTCCACAACCTCGGGAACACCTGCTTCCTCAACTCCACGGTGCAGTGTCTCACCTACACACCGCCACTCGCCAACTACTTACTCTCAAAGGAGCACAGTCGGGCTTGTGAGTAGTTCACTTTTATGGTATAGATTTCACATGGTAAATGCCAATAGTATTCTCCAAATGGAAGTGGAATACATAAACCTTGTGTTTTGCAGGTCACCAGTCAGGATTTTGTATGATCTGTGTAATGCAGAATCATATTATCCAAGCCTTTGCCAACACTGGTAATGCCATAAAGCCAGTCTCCTTCATCAGAGACCTCAAGAGTAAGTTGCATCACTCTCCCTTTACATTGCACTACACTCATTGAAGGTTTGGTGAGAAGTCCAACACCTGACTTCTGCCAGAAGCTCAGTGACGCAACATCGACCATAGCCTGACGCGTAACTGCAGCGTGTATGTGGAGCACAGAGTACAAGCTGTGAATGAATACAGTGTAGTAGGAGCAGATGACTAAACACAATATAGCTCGCACTTGCCTTCAAATCCCCTTTGCACCGGACCTACTTTTCTGTGCTGGTGAAATGGTGTTGTTCTGTGCCCCTCCCTCCCTGTTTCTCAGATGCCCTCTCTGTCTCCTTGTGACTGCAGCCTGGGAGGAACGGCATTAGCACAAAGTACCCTGTCCACCTCCTCGATGCTTTAAGCCAGTATAGACATTTATCTTATTGGCTACATCCTTGTCCTTTACCCAATTATGTATACAAATTTGAACTACACATGTGGTAAACATATAAGCTTAGTCGTTGAGAATGTGCACTAAGCACATCTAAATGAGGTTTAACAACAGCTACGAATCTGATAGTGGCATAAGGCTTTTATTACATCTTTGCTATCATGCCCAGTTGAAGATGCTATGGAATGACATTTGTACTTAAATGGCTGCTAAATCTTCTAATTGTAACAATTTTTTTCTTTCTGCATGTACTAAATAAACCATGAGTGTGCATGATAAAAGTCTGATTGAAACATTGGAGTACTTGCACATAGAGCCTTTTAATGCACTAATGGTTGCGTTTAGAGGCTATAATGCACTTTTATTTTCCTCAGAGATTGCCAGACACTTTCGTTTCGGCAGCCAGGAGGATGCTCACGAGTTTTTGCGGTATACCATTGATGCCATGCAAAAAGCCTGTCTTAATGGATACCCAAAGTAAGACCTCATAATTGTACATATTTAAAATTTTATATGTATAATGTAAGTTTTGTACTAAATATTTGTGTGTCTTTAGGCTTGACAGGCAAACCCAAGCCACAACGTTGGTTCACCAGATCTTTGGAGGTTACCTCAGGTCAAGAGGTAGCTGGATTTCCTTGTTTTTGTATTTCTGTAAATTCACTTTGGTCTTGAATTTCAAAGTTCAAAAGTTCAATTTGTCTTGTCTTGTCAGTGAAATGCTCTATTTGCAAAAGTGTGTCAGATACATATGACCCCTACCTGGACATTGCTGTTGAGATTCGGGTATGCTAAACACACATCTACAATATAATATGTATGTTGTTAAAGATCTAACATATCAGTTACATTTGGGTACCTTTTATAGCAAGCTGCTAACATTGTGCGTGCTCTGGAGCTCTTTGTGAAACCAGATGTGTTGAGTGGAGAAAATGCCTACATGTGTGCCAAGTAAGTTGAGTTGAATTCCAAATAAATAATTTTCTCATCAGTTTTACTGAAGATTGAGATATTTACCAATACCTTTATGTAGGTGCAAAAAGAAAGTGCCAGCTACCAAGCGCTTTACAGTTCATCGAACATCAAATGTGCTTACTCTTTCTCTGAAGAGATTTGCCAACTTTAGTGGAGGGAAAATAACAAAGGTTCATTACAGCTGTTTGCTCATATGCTCTTTAAATCTGTGCAAGATGTTAATTAAACCTTTCTTCTTTTCAGGATGTAGGATACCCAGAGTTTCTAAACATCCGTCCCTACATGTCCCAAAGCTCAGGTGATCCAGTTATGTACGGCCTTTATGCTGTGCTTGTGCATTCTGGCTACAGCTGTCATGCTGGCCATTACTACTGCTACGTCAAGGTAGATATATTTAGTCCAACATGGGTAAAAGGTAAATCTTCAGTCAGTTTATATTTTTTGCATTACTTTTCCCCTTGTTCTCGCAACACAGGCAAGCAATGGGCAATGGTACCAAATGAATGATTCAATGGTGCACTCTAGTAACATCAAAGTGGTGTTGAACCAGCAAGCTTATGTGCTTTTCTACCTGCGGTAAGTGAGTCTTTAATGTGAAAAATGTACACATCTATAGTCCAAGTTAAAATAATATTTGCTTTGTCTTTGTAAATCTTAGTATCCCTGAGACCAAGAAAAATGCTGATGGCCAGACCACAAAGCAGGCAGCATTGAACCCCGGGAAAAACGGTGCATCTTCAGACCAAATTAAAAGAACCAATCTCAATGGCCCTCTGTCCTCTCCTCAGATCACAAAGGTATCATTTGAAGTACACACATTCTGTATATAAGAGGACATTTGTGATAGTTAATAAATGCATTTTTAACATATTTGAGCTTGTTGTTTTTTAATTTTAATTTTTTAGAAACTTGAGCCTGCCCAGCTTCGCAAAATTCAATCCATGGATGGAGGTTTGGGTTTACCCATTTCTAGAAATGGTGTGAGCAGTCAGTCACAACCAAGGCTGTCCAGTTGGACTGGTGGTCTACCCAAACAGCTGAGTGGTCCCACGGTCATTGAGGAACCATTCAAAAAAATGAAGAAACCCACTCCTCAGAGCCAGGTGCCGTCACGTAGCAGCACCCCAACTCCTTCTGCCAATGGAGTCATTCGGACAGAAGGGGACAAGAAGCAGGGCAGTGAGGGCAGGGGTATGGCACAGTCTACCTCAATCAAGTCTTTGTCTGACTCATCCTCTGCCGACACTACGGATTCAAAGGTGATTCAAATACATGTGTATTTAAAGCATGTTTGAATTATAAATATTTTTTTTTTATTGTGAATACAAATATTTATTGTGTCATAGGATTCTTATGGACCTAAAAGTGCACCGGTAGGAGAGACCCCATCCACTCCTCGCAAAGGCTCCAATGGTGTGGCATCTCCAGCCAAAAGTGTGGAGCGCTCTCAGAGCACGGAGGAGCAGAAGACAAAAATAAAGACTGCATCGCTCAACAACATCTCTGCTGAAGCCACCAGCACCATGTCTCCTCCACCTGCCAAAAAGCTGGCCCTATCTGCAAAGAAGGTGACCTTTTGCTTTGCCTTACAAAGCTCCAACTGTTACTAATGTGAAATACATTTTGCTTTTGTGTATAGTAACATTTTTGCAAAAAGGACAGTAGCAATATATGTCAATAACATTGCAAAGGAAAGATGTACTATTGTAAGAGGGATACAACAAAGGACAATTAATTCTATTAGTTTTAAGAACATTAATAAGGTTGATTCCATCAAATAGCCAGACAACAATGCACGTGTATTGATAAAAATCTTTTATGAAAGTTTTATGACATTCGGAGGTGATGCATATATATTGTAATATAGGTATACAATATAGCAAATACTGCATAATATAGACCATAACATCTTTTGCTACTTAAAAGAAATGTGGCACATTTTAGGATGTATTGTAAAAGGGATACAGATTGTCCTTAAGTCTACTGATATTTTATATCCAGTAATCTCATGTATTGTCTAATGTGTCTAATCTGTCACATAGTTTCCTTGCTCAGTTTGTCTTTATTCCTTTGCTTTCTTTTCGTAAAAACATTTCTAATTCTTACAACATCCTCTCTTCCTTTTGTTCTGCTCCCTCCATATTTTTCACCATCCATTGTCCCAATCCTTATTTGAACCCTTCTGTTACATTCATGGCTATTTTCTTTAGACCACCAAGTTTTTATTTATGTCGATAACTGCAGGCTCGCAGGGAGAGTCGCAACAGCACTGATGCCTCGCCCTCTTTGCCATGCCAGCTGTCCAGTGACCCTATGCATCAAACTCATCAAACTCAACTAAACCCTCTTTCTTTGCCATCAACACACTCACTCAGGTACAACCTTTACACACATTTTCCTTGTGTTGGCTGATATGCTGAGAACAATTTAGTAGCTTGCATTTTATATATGCAAAAAAGAAAACTAAATTAAACTTAGCAAGAGATCATCAATATTGTTATATATATCGTATTGTCTTAATTGTAGTGTTACAGACTGAAAATGAATCATTTACCTTTCTTCATCTCTCCATAGAGCTGACCCATTCCATTCACCTAAAGTCAATTCTTCGTTGGTTGCTCACACAAGTGGAACCTTCAAACAGCAGAGCCCCCAGACACAAGCTCTTCTTTCCCCTCCTAAAAAACTCTCCTCTAGCCTTTCTTTTATCACCAATGGGCTTCACAATCTGGCCCCAAAGATCAACAAGTCTTTCAGCAATCTTAACTCTACAGAACAAAAACAACATGTTCACAATGGCATAGATCAAGAGGTCGTTCAAAAGAAGAAAAAAAAGAAAAGGAAGAGGCGACATTCTGAGGTGGATTGTAATGTTGTAGCTTTAACAGAGACACAAGCTGAAAGTGTTGAAGCTATGAATGAACCTACGAGTGAACCTATGAGCAAAAAGAAACACAAAAAGAAAAAGCGAAAACGAAAGGGAGAGAATGGTGAATTTACAGGAAAGGATTGTGTCCAAAACCATCGAGAAACATCAGCTCAAGATGAAGATTGGTGTGAAGGGGGGATTTGGAGTTTATCGTCCAGTTTTGACACTGGAAAGTCTAAAAAGGTAGTTAGCACATCCCCAGAGCATTGTGAATCCCATTCTATCAACGAGGAAGATAGTAAAGTTTTGCTAAAAAAGAAGAAGAAAAAGAAGAGGAAAAAGCTACTTGAGGCTCTGCAGGCCACAGCTCTGACAGGCAGTTTTTCAGAAAGGTGCTCCAAAATTGTTTTTAAAACATTTGTATATTATTGAATATTTTGTCTCAATGTACTACTGTTTTTGTTTTTTTTGCAGCTTTCAACAGTTGAAGGCCCCACTTATTCAGAGTGACACGGGAGATTTGATCAAATTGAAAAAGAAAATCAAGAAGAAGAAACTAAAAGAATTGGGACTGGTGGAGGAGAGCAAACATTTTGAGAATAGTGAGCCACAAAAACTACAGGATCCTTCACCAGAAAAAGAAAAGACCAACAAAAAAAGTACCGGTAAGAACAACCACACCGTTTATTTGAAGCTCTGTCCTTTTATACAATGTAACTATGACAACATGTTGGGGTCAAAGGTAGGAATGCAGCAATCCAGCTTTTTCAGTCCTGGTATCGATACTTTGCCAGTATCACTTACTTCTTTAAAACACAAGAGATCCAGTTGTGTTATGTAACTGTTATTAATCCTTCAAATCACTACAGAACAGCTCCATATGACATAGTCTTACTACAATTAAAGGCCCAATCAGGATATCAGTTTAACTGGTATCATGGAACCGATAGACTCCAGCTAATTTTTCATTATCGCTGCTGATATTCAACATTGGGACAGCCCTAGGTAAAGGTAGAGACTATAACACAGGGGTCTCAAACTCAAATTACCTGGGGGCCACATTAGATGAAGTCTGAGTGAGACTGGGCCGCATTAAGTATTCGATAAATAGGGGCTGCATGAAAAAAAAGAGAACGAGAGAGAAAGAACAACACGCAACACACTTTTAATCTTTAATAACAGTTCAGAACATGAAAATGTATTCAGAACGTAAGTTTAAACTAATATGTCTACTCTTCTTCTTTTGCCTACTCCTTGCTGGTTGAAACCTGGCTACGCCCGCGGTAGGGGGGTGGAATTGTGCGTACATCTACCACGGGCCGCACTGACATTATTCTTTGGAATTCAGTGGAGGGCCGCAAAAAATCCTTCCAAGGGCCGCAGTTGGCCCCCAGGCCGCGAGTCTGAGACCCCTGCTATAACATGATTAAGTATTTAAGTTAAAATTGCTGTAACATGTGCCCCTAGTGGTTTTGAAATGTCATCACAATCACAACTGAACCTTAGATGGACATATAATAGAAAGCCCTTTTGGATTGAGGCTATTGCAGATTGTTTTAGTCGTAGGACCTGACAACACTGAGTTAAATAAATGTTTGTATTTTACATTTGAGGACACAATGTTTATGAAAAATAAAGAAATAAATCATAAATAAATAAATCATGCTCGTTTACCTTGTCTTGCATATTTTTGCTGTGTAGCCCCGGTAGTGTTGTGGAACAGTCAAGTGAAAGATGGGTACAAGCGGAGCCAGGCACCAGCTCCTGTTTCAAAAGAGTCCCAGAACACCCCAACCCATACTGCTCCTACTGTGTGGGACGGTAAAAAGTCTAGTGATGTGGTTGAGGAGCTGCTTAAGAATGCTACTGATAAGGCCTATGGAGCTAATGGTGAGTACAACATATTTTCTTTCATATACCAGTTGTTGTATTACTGCAAAGAGCATTGTGGTGAATTTAGATGTTTTATTCTAGTCCTCAGTTGGGATGGTGAGTCGTCTGCCATCAGTAAAGATGCCTCTGAGGATACACGCCATGCCAAGTGTAACACTGTGATTGATGAATGGGATGAAGAATTTGATCGGGGAAAGGTAAATATGATGTGATAAACTATGTGCAGCTTTCATGCATTAGTTTATGCATTATAATGTTATTATGTTTGTTTCATTGTTGCTGCTACCAAAATTTGAATTAGAATTTCCTTTGGAATCAATTAAGTATCTGTCTGTCTAATACAACTTTTTTTTTCAAAAGGTGAAAAAAGTAAAAAACTATAAAAGAGAGAAGTGGAGAAGCGGCAGCATCTTCCAGAAAATCCAGGACCAGAGGAACAAGTGGTGTGTGACCCCTGGAGGGAGGAGAGCATTTGGAATCAGGCGCTGAGTTTAAACTGACGAGAAATTGACACGTTCACCTGGTTCTGACAGATACCTTATTCCTTTTACCTTGTGTTCTTTGTGCTGTGGGACTGAGAAAAAAGGTATTTTTAAACAGCAGGGATTTTGTGTCACGGTTAACCAATATGAAATTTACATTGCAAATTTTAGATCAATTCTCGATAAATGTGAGTTAATCTGTAATGGGGACTATAAATATGTTTGGAAGAAAGCTTAACCATATGAATCTGATAAAGGTTGTGGTCTCAAAGGTAAAGTGGCTGCTAATAACTGTTCACAATCTTAGTCTAATTTGCTGCTGTTCAGCCAAGGGCTCTGGTTCGATGTGGAAGTGACCTTTCCATTCTTATTTCTTATACCAAATTACACCCATAGATTGTTATTCATTTAATTAAATATTACATTTTTGCATTTTCATTTTCTGTCTTTTATTTTGTATGTGCTTGTGGCTTGTTTTAAAGGACCAAGTTTTGCCTCCCTTTGGTAAAAATATGACTTTAAACTTGCCACAGTATTCTAACCATGCATGCTGTTCCATTAATGTTTTATTTTTTCTTTATATTTTCTTGATTTTATCAGATTTTATTTCAAGTTAATCTTAGGTATTTTTTTTTATCATTTGCAGTTAGTTTTATCAACAACTTAAAGTGCAATTGTTTTTGTAATGACGAGGTTAGGGTTGTTGGAGGAACCTAGAAGAGAGCCGTTAAAAGGTGCAGCTATTGTTCCATGAATTTCACATCCACCAGTCCTACATTCTCCTGTCTGAAGGTTTGACTTGACTTTCTGTAATTAACTTCACAACAATCTTAATTATTGTATTTAAATAAAATGATTTTGTTTTCTGCGGGCACTGTGTTAGAATGTATTACAACATGCTAAGAAATAATTTCCACCATCTATTTTTGTATCTATGCAATTTCTACAAGACTTGCTGGTCACTAAAAACTGGGCTAAGCCTCAGGAAGCAACTTTATCCTGTACCTTACCTTGACCATCTGTTAAAAAGATGTTCCATATTGTACATCATGTAGAAACTGTTTTATACAAGTACCCAAGGCATCAGAACCAATGGATCATCTTGCACCAGTTCTAGCACAGATGTCTAGATGTTTTATGTCATAAAATTCAAAATGCTTTGCAAATACTGTATAGTCCACCATGCTGTAAAGACTCATTCATACATTTTGTCCATACTAGAGGTGTTGCCTTAAATCGGCTCAAAGAACTTTAGGATTTAATGCTATGAATATTTAAGATATGTGACAGGTCTTTAATGTACAGTCAATAGTTTGATCAGCTAATGTTGAGGTTCATAGGAAAATGTCCTGGTAATTTTTGTGTATAGGAAATACTTTTTTTGTGTCAGCAGTTTGTACAGGGCAAATGAGGACTGAACACAGTGACTTTATCCAGTGTGACTGGATCATTCACATATTTACAATGATGGTTTGATTTTTGCACCACATTTTCTGACCAGGGAAGAGGAGCTTTCATAGTGAAAGTCTCTTACTGCATTATAGCTAAGTATCAGGGTGCAATAAAGTTGTGACTCCATTGATGTGTCTGTGTATATCAATTATGGAAGACTAGACTAATCCCTGCGTTTTTGTGAAGCACTTAAAAGGAGTGTAATAATGTTATTAGACGTGCAATGTTGGCCTGAATTACTCTCAAATCTCCGTCAGTTTCAGGAGTCACCACGTTACGTCATTACACGATAGGCATGACTCGAGGCGCGCCGGCTTTTCTAGAGCGCAGTGGGCAAATATTGACAACAGGCAGAGAGTGAACGACAGCCGCAGTGAAGGCTGGCAACTCCAACCACGGAGGCAGCACGCCTTTTAGAGACAGTCTATCCTTGGAGAGATAAATAGGCTACAGAGGAGGCGAGGCAGAGGCTGGAAAGGATCAGGTCTGGACGGAAGCCGCCAGTGGAGCAAGATGCAGGGAAGCACGGACGGTCGGTCTGATCACTCTTTGGGTTCATACTTTTGAGTGTGTATGTGCTCCACTGTCCTACAGCAGCGAAGCATGGATCTGTCACGTGTCAGTAGTCTGTCCTGCATGCTGCCTAGACTGCTATGTTGCTTATTTTATAATTGCATGTGGTATGTTTTGAAAATTGAATGGCCTTATAAACAGGTGGGCGCAGACATCAGTGCCATGTTCTATATGAAGAATGTGAAATTATTAAACGGACCCATCACGCTGCAGCAGTGTTACTGAAGTGTATGAGAATCTTAAAGTAGGTAGTCCGAAGTAACTAAGTGAAGTAGACGGTCTCTTTTGAGCTAAGAACACATTCAATAGTGCATGGTCATGCTCACAGTAATCCTATAATGTGACATAGCCTATAGGATATCAGATGATTATATCTGATTCCTGGATGTGTCTTAGCATGCACCAGTGTAGCAATTTTGTCTCAATTATTCAGCACTTTAGTTTTCTGTCAACTAAATGTTTCTGAAAATAGAAATGCCCTCATTTTACGAGTGCATCTGTTACTTTGTAAAAGTAGGGAAGGCTCTTAGGAGGAGATGTATAATGGCTGTTTGTTTACTTTCCTAGATCTGTGCACAACTGTACCAGTGAAATATTGAAAATGGTAGCTTTCATTCTATATCTGAAATGCCTTACTTTTGATTTTGATTCTTGTAATGAAAGTATTTTTATTTTTTTTTTTTTTGATGATGATGATTATAATTATCTTGTAGCCACAGCCACATTTTAAAGTTTATTTTGTGAACTATGTTTTTTTCTTCTGGCAGTTGATCCATGTCCTGGATTCCGGTTACAGATCAGCCAAAGAGTTATGTAATGGTCTGTTAATTTGTGATGCATAAAGAGAAAGCATTTCACAGCCAAAGCGCTCAGAATTCACTGACAGCTTCTTGGTGCTTCTAAATGAGTAAATTGTATTATGTGTATTGTGTAGTTCATCAGGCAGTTCATACAGAATGGATCGTTGTGAAGACCTGACTTGCACATTTTTGCAGTTTTTTGTCATTGAGTTCACATCCTAAAAGAACTCTAAGGTAAAGCACTACAGAGGAAGGCCAAGAGGTAGATGAAAGAGGACAGGAAGAAATGGGTGTGCCATGTGCATATGAGGATGCACAGTACAGGGTTAGATGAAGGCAGATAACTTAGCCCTACTAGAAAGAAAAGCTATTAAAACTTGATACAAAATTCTTTTGCAATTTTGCTAGGTTTAATTAAAGCAAAGTTCATTCTGTTATGCCATCTTTGGGTGTGGTTAAAGTACTTTTTTTTTAGCATGCATTTTGCTATCCACCTCCCATCACAAAAGCTCAGTTTCTCCTCAGATAATACATACAAAGGAAGAAGTCTGCTCATAGGTGTGGTGCCCAACGGTGGCTGCTGTGGTTTTGGGTGTCATCAATATACCAGCATTTTGTTCAGCTCCTTCTTTGAACATTTGATGGGCAATTTGTTTTTCTCTGTATTTTATTCTACATACTTTTTAAATATGGTTCTATGTCTCTTATAACATAATAATTACTTACTTAAAGCCTGGTATATTCCAGCATATTGACATGTTTTGAGGTTCCTAATTTATGCTGCTCTAGTTTCAAGATATAGTAGACTACAGCTTTGCTTTGAGGCTACTGAAACAGAAATAACAAAGGTAGCTAAAATAAGACAAGCCTTGAGAAAACCTAAAATGAAAAGTGGGTTGAGAGTGCGTGTTTGTATTTTGCCCTTGTCAGTTCAATCCTGCTGGTGTTTGAATACTATATTTAGTGTTTGTGAATATTGGGTCCTTCTAGTATAAATAAAGTTATATTGATTGATACATAGCTTGTTGTTCTTTTGATTTGAATAGAGAACCAGGTGTTAGTCATCAGAGGTGCTAACATTTGGGCCATATTATGTAGGAGGTCCACCAACTCACTGTCTTTGTGATTTATCTCCCACTGGACCAAATCAAACCTGCTGCTGACTGAATTTGACGTTTTGTTGTGCTTTGTCAGTTTGAACAAAATACCAATTTAGAATGGTTCTTCTTCATTCATTCACCTTCCCTGGGATTTATCAGTATAACTAGAGTTTATGCAAATTATGAGCCTTAGGTAGAGCTGAAAGTACCTATGCCAGGTTAGATTACTCATTTCACTAAAACACAGTTAAGATCAGTATATTTATAGGTGCATTGTGTAACTTTTCTGGTGGATCATCCATGAAATGCTTTTCTCAATGATGTTATCGCTTTGTCTGAATGTTTCACAGTATAGAATTAAACCTTTCTATCTTCGTGGAAACTAAACCAGTCCAAGTTACAGGTCAGATCTGTGGAGAGGCAACCGTGCTCACAGTCAGAATTATGGTATTTTTGAGCTATAAAACCACCTGTTTAATAAATGTTAAGTAAAGCTCTTTATTGTCATACTATGGAACATTCCAGGCAGAGCAATGACATATCCATAGGAACAAATAGGGATGGACCCCCAACCAAAAGTTACATAGTGCATCTTTAAGATTTTACTAAAAATGTTTTGCTTTTTCCCCCCCAATTTCACAATTTTTGAGGTTCCAAATTTTACTTCTTGATTGTGAATAGCACTCGTGAATTCCATACCCTGTTACCTAGCAACCATATAGTGGACTGGGCCAAAACTCCTCTAATGTACACAGAAATTATCATTTGACAAAGAAAACTTTAAAATGTTGGAAAAAATTTGCTTCTTTTGTATAAATTGTGCCCTCCCAAGTGTGATGTCATCAAAATAGACTTCTTTTAAGTGGAACTCCCTGTAATATTCCAAATATTTTTCATCTTTTCTTCACAAATTACTTCTTGACTTGTGTAAAACTATAATTAATATTTACAACAGGTATTATTCCACCAAATTAAGTTAACATTTGAGAGACATGACAACCTTTCGGAGGGAAAAAATTGTCAAGTAAGCATGTTTTATTGCCAACGCAATAAGGCAAGATATTTTGTTGTGTTTATTACCATTCACTGTTTACTGATAAAAGGCAATAGACACCAACTCAACTTGCAGTGTGAACTGAGGCTGAAATGGTCTGGAATTTGTTGTTGCACTACTCCTCAACCACTGGAGGGAGTATTTGTTCAACATGCAAAAGTGACTAATCCCATAAATGAACAGTTTTGCCTTTGATTCCATCAACTAGTTGCCCACATACCAGGCTTGTGTTGTTGGGTTTTCACTTAGTCATATTTCTAGCTACATTTTTGTAAATGAAGAACATGCTTGCTTATTATGCTGACTCTTCATCGTGACAGTGCTGGGCCTTTGGTGATTTGCAGCTGCAGCATTTTCAGCTTCCCCTGTCACCGTGGAAAGTGAGGGGGTAGTTCCAGTAGAGGCAAAATCTGCGCCTGTGACATGAACATATAAAATTCTGCATGTGTTTGTTACATTTATGAAAGACATATAACAACAGTCCATCAAGTTCATGTGTGGATGCAAAACAGAACATTTAATATCCTGATATCAAAGCTTAGTGGTGCCCAGCCTAGGTCATATGCCACAACTACAGTTTAGCACACCTCAAGTCTGAAAACACACAAAATAAAGTTAAAGATTCACTATGAAAATTGTTCACCACCCGCTTGTCTCCATGAAGATGTTATTGCTTTGCCTGAAATGTTCCACACTATGGCATTAGACAAGCAGGTGATGACACTCTCATTCAGACTAGATGTATTTTTTGTGTTTCTGACCACTATAAAATGTGCAAGAAAGGTAAATTTAATGCCAAAGGAAAGGAAACAATAAGGTGCTCGCTGACCCCTTGCTGAAAAGTTACACAGTGCACCTTTAAATGAAACGGTGATCATGATATGTTCAGAAG